GGGTCGGTGTGTATGTAAAAGGTGGTTCTGTCTCTGATAAAATTACAAAGAACACACCTAGAAATCAATGGCAGTTACACTTATCAGGCACTCTGGGAGAAAAGAAACTAAAAGGCGAATCCAGTCAAGATAAAAATACCCTGTAAAACAAGCGAAGCACACCAAGCGGTATATAAAACCCGAACAGCTTTATGTGCTGAACCTCTAAACTTAATAAAAACGATATTGTAACACGCCAGCAATGCGTAAAAAGAAGATCCGAAGACTGTAGCGCTGGGGATGGTATGCCCCAAAAATGAAGACAGAAATGTTAATCACATGCTAAAATAAAACAGGAAAGTTATTGTACATTTAGGATAAAGTCCATTTGAATAAAAAACCAAAAACAAAGTGTACCTGTTACCCGCCGGCAGAGGAGGAAGTAACTTAGCGGGTTGGATTAATCAGCAGATTAAAGTGTATCTAAACCTGAACACAAAGCTGTCATATACTGCAGCGTACCAGTCCTTCGATGTGGCGGCTGCATTCGTTTCCTGCTGACCCTGCCAGTGCCCCCTGACCCTGGGTGGCTACACTCTGTTCATGGAAGGAGCCATGGTGGTCACACAAAGAGGATCTAAGGCCTCATTCATACGAGAAAAGGCCGGCAGGTACATCTCTGTGCGCGGCTATATGGGGCAGCTCCCGGGAAGGACAGGTGCTGCGCGTGATAAGTACGCAGCCCCCGTCCTTCTCTATGGGAGTAGGCGGCCAAACGCCACCCTACGCTCATCCGCCCTGCACGTCCGTATGGGTGCGGGTGTCCGTACTCGTACGCTGACGGGATGGATCCTGTCTGCGTCCGAGCCGGGACACCTGCACCTGTACGGACTTGCACTTGGGGGGAGCGTAGGGCGTCGTACGGCCGCGTAGTCCCATAGAAGGACGTGGGCTGCGTACTAATCACACGCAGCACCTGTCCTTCCCGGGAGCTGCCCCATATAGCCGCGCACAGAGATGTACCTGCCGGCCTTTTCTCGTGTGAGTGAGGCCTCAGAGTAAAGCACCAAAACCAGACTGAGGAAGAACTTCAAGAATTTTAAAAAAAAGTTACCCTTGCCATGGGGACACCCCCGCACAGCACTCCTTTTTGTCTAGGGGACTCAAATAAAGCAGAGATACTCACCTGATGCTCAGTGCTGCCGGGTTGCTAGACCGGTCCGCACAGCCTCTTCTCCCCCGGCTCTGGCGGACTAAGGACCAATGATGTCATCACAGCCTATGCAGGTCATTGACTTGCATTAGACAAGAGGACATAGAGGGGGTGAGATGTGAGCGCTGACTTCCCATGGACTGAGGATAAGGTGAGCAATGCAGTGATATTTTAAATGAATATCAGATATACTTACCTGAACCTCAATCCTGCCCGGCAGCTAGACCAGTTCCCGCAGTCTCTTCTCCCCTGGGATCTAGCGGTCTAAGGACACCGAACATCACCACGTCTTAATCGGGTCATTGACTTTTATTTGACATGAGGACATTGAGGGACAGGAGGAGTGGAAGGGGAGTGAGGTGAGTGCTGACTGCCGTGGGACCGAGGATCAGGCGAGTAATACGGCTTTATTTGAGCCCCCTAGACAAAACGAGCACCGCAGCCTTGCAGTGCGGGGGTAGCCCCACTTCCGGAGTTCTCTTTTAATGGTCCAGGCATAAATGCATTCCAATGTAGGATCAAATAGAGCCACTGTGTTTTGTGGACAAAAAAAAAAAAAATCGCCCCTTCCTCAAGGTCTGTTGAATGCACTCTGGCTGCCCAAATCAGCTCCTGAGGAACAGTGTGCTCAACATCTTAATGGTCAAACCCTTCAATCCCGGATCCTTTTATCTGCATTATAAGCCAAGGCAATTGTGGAAATATTTTGGCGTGTAGAAACTGCCTGGTCAGAATCCCAGAAATCTTGTTCATACATCACCACCACCACCCTATAGGATAGCAACATGACTAGGACCAGGGGAGTCCCGAGGCTGGGTGACACCCGGAGCGTAACCGAGTGTCACCCCGCCGAGACGTCACTGCGCATGACGTCATCGCACGGCAGTATTCTGATACCTGCCGGCGGCCATCTTGGTGATGGACGCCGGCAGAGAGAGGAGGGGACAGTCACCTGACGGGATAAGGTATGCTGCCGGGTCCCCTCCTCTCTCCTGATACTGTCGTGCGTTCAGTCCATGGCCGACCGAGCGCCCGACTTTTCAGAGGGGGTGACACCAAAATGACTATGAGTCATTTTGGCGTCATCCCTCCAATGGTGTCTGGCCGGGTGCGCACCCCCCTTGTGAGGCCACTGACTAGGACAATCCTAGGGCTCCAGCTCCACTTTTCATAGGTGTCACACAGGCTGGGCTTCAAACATGTCTGCCATTGCTCATCTCCATGACATGGTGGAATAATTGGATTAGAATCTAAGGTCCCTATTGCACACACATACAGAGCCAATTAAACTTCCAGCATGTCTTTGGAGTGTGAGAGGAAACTGGAGTATCCAGAAGAAACCCGCAGGGGGAACATGAGAGTGTCCAGACTGGGATTCAAACTGGGGACCCCCAATGCTGCAAGGCAGAAGTGCCAACCACTACGCCACTGTGCTGGGTAAACCCTGAAGAAGGGTCGAATTAGGTCACCCAAATCCCATTGGCTCGATGTCATCCTTCATTGGAACAAATTTGTATCAGTTTTGATAAGATCACCATATGAATATAGAATGAAAACGAATGCAGCCACCTCATCTACAGACCGGTAAGCCGCAATGTGTCACATTCTCGGTTTTGGGTTTAGATACACTTCAGTTGACCAGGTCGTAGTGCAATCTATGTGCCTTGTGTCGCCTAAACCAGTGAAACCTGGGCAATTCAAAGCAAATTAGGGAAAAAGGAATTGAAGGAGCGGAGATTACCTTTCAGTGAAAAATCGCACATCAAAGTGGAATAGACTTGTGATGTTGATTCACCTTTCCTGTAAAAGGTGAATGTTGCCCGGCCCACAACTGGCTGCAGAGCTTTACTAATGGTCATTTAAAGAGGCAGTGCCTGTGTGAAGACGACCTGCCGACCACTTTATACTTGCTTCTTCAACACTCACCCACCACCCCTTCACTGCAAACCACCCAGAGCTTCCAGGTATGGGAAGCACATGACCTCCTCCAATGATGCAGTGCATGGGGCAAGCATCTAAGTGCTAGGTCACATATTAGGGGGTGGGGGGTGTATGTCATCGCTCTCTATAAGCTCTGACACCAGCCTAGAATGGGCAAGAGAACGTTGTCTTCTTTTATATGCAGTCAGCCCAAATGACCAATAGGGAGGCTCAGGAGGGTGTAGGAAAGCTCAGATTTTTCAGGGAGTGTCCAGATTAGGAAACAACTTTAGCTGTCGGCATCTTCAGCTTCTTGTTATTCTGAAGTGCAGTTTTCACTAAGCCCTCGTTCACACCTGACCGTTTTGTAGCACGTTCTACACTCGACGAACGCTCTACAAAACGGTCAAAAATATAAATTGCATTGTAGTCAATGGCCTCGTTCCCACCTTGCCGTATTTCCGCCCGTCCCTAACGCCCTACAAAACGGCCCACGCCTGAAAAGGTCCAGGTACTACTTTGGGCCGTTTTGTAGGGCGTTTTCAATTGGGATACAGCCAAGTAGCTTTCGGAATCGCGGTAAAAAAAAACGCACGACAGACGCGCCTATTACAATACGCCTAGGTGTGAATGGGGCCTAAAACGAACATCTACTAATGCAATTTCTTTATGCACAGTCTGAATTGCCCCGGCTTGTAACAGGGTTAATTTAAAGAACCAGTCCACTGCTTTGCATTTTATAGATAAATGCAAAGGCGGGAGG